CAAGGTGAGACAGTCTTAAAAATGTTCAGTACAAAACAGTCAGTGTGTGTATCTCAATGTACTTTTGGTAAAAGTGTTGAATATCTAGCCAAAGGTCAATCAGTTGACTTACCCATTTTCACCAAAGACTGTATGGGCAGACATATAGTTAGTGAACATGAAGTGAAAGCAATCCACATTAAGCCAGATGGATCACAAAAGCAGATGGAAGTGACTGATAATGATGATGGCACCTACTATGTTACCCTGCTTGGTGACATACAAGGAAAGCATGAAATTAGAGTAATGATTGGAGATGCACCCATCCCAGGACAACCATTCACGGTTGAGGTCGTCAAAGGCTTAGTCAGAACCATAGGCCAGAAAGGAGATGGCGAATCGCAGTTCAATAGCATATGTGGCATTGCAATAAATAAAAATGGCGACATTGTAGCTGCTGACAAAGACAATAACAGACTGCAGATCATTGACATTACTGGAAAATGTAAAAAAATAATATTATTGGAAAGACATTTTAAGCCAATTGATGTGGCTGTTTTGAACGACAACACATATATGGTTATTGGCGATAGACGCAGTTCTGGTATAGTTGTGGTAAATCAGAATAAAAACACTGTTTCATTCTTTGGTAAGAATGAATTAGAACAAGCAAAAAGCATTACCATATGCCCTGTTACTGGTTTAGTGTATGTTTTAAACAAAAACATAAATGTATTTGTGAAGGTATTTACACAAGAATGTGAATTTGTGAAATCAATGAAGCTAAAACGATCCACCCCTAGTTGCATTAGACTTGACAGTAGAGGTCTGCTTTACGTGTGTGTAGCACGTGATGTGGAAGTGTATGACAGAGACGGAGTGTTTTTATACACCATTTCATATTCCTCAAAGCCAGTGCAGTTGAACTATCCAAAGTGTTTAGCTTTTGACAAGTATGGCTATCTTTATATCGCCAGTGAACAAGAGGTACGAAAATACGGCTGTAAAGGAAGATTTGTTTACCTTGTGCATACACATGCCAATGAAATGAATGAGCCGACGGGCATTGCAGTTTTGCATGATTTAACAGTAGTGGCCGCTTATAATAAGAATAATTGCATAAAATTATTCGTTGAGTAATTATTTAGTTGAGTCCTTTCAATGTAATATTTCATTACCCAATCCTCTGATGAATAAAGGAATATGGATTCATGTTGTACTTTATTTAGATCTCAGCTGTGATTAGTTGCCTCACTTGATTTTTTTAATCAGATAAACAATATGCGATTAAACCCAATACAGGAACAGTGGTCATAAATACCTCTAAGCATAATGTAATGTCGTGAATGCATCCCTGGTAAGGATGCTAAGAGAGAAATAATATGACAACACTAATCACGTTCAAAGATATTTTGGTTGGGTTCAATTGCCCCATTGAGTTTAATAGTTTGGCCACAGTGTCCAGCTTAAATTATTTGGGGGTTCTTGACTAACTATCACTGCTTGCAGTACCAAAACCCTACATTGGGATAACCAACCCCATCAAGGTCATAAATTGGCGTATCCTTGCTGAATACTATTATATGTGAAATATCTTAATCCATGCCACTATGCAATGGAAATGCCTCTATGATGAATAGAACATTTCTTTGTTATTTGGGACCGCTAGTAGACAAAGGACAAAGGTCGTCAAGCTTATATGGAATGTTCATCACGTGACTGTCACTAACAGGTTGTCACAACCTGCATGTTAATTAAGCGTGTTATGTGACTGGATGACCTCATGAAATTTGGTCTAAGCAAATTCACTAGTTTACCACAGGATTCATATCTCTACTTTCCTACCTGTAATCTGTGGTTAAATAGTGCTACACACTGGACAAGAATGGTATTATATTATTTGAATTCTTCCTGTATTATCACCGTTAATTAATTAAGCTCAATGGTGAAATAGCGGCCATCAGACTGGGTGGAAAGTATGCCAGACTTCTGTGTGCTGTGTGGCTTGACATTTGACACATGAACTGTGTTGTTGTAGACCGCAATACACTTTTTATGTGACTGGAGTAATCTCTCCAATCATGGACTAAACCAAATTTAAGTGGGGTCTCAGATTGTGTGTATTGTTATAATCGTGATCATAAATTGGAATTTACCCATACCAATAAATCAATGAAACGCACGTTTACAATATATTTAATTTCCATTTCTGACAAATACAACTGGTTTACAGTATGATTTTGATATACATGTGTTTTTGTCTTGGTATAGTCAAAATGGTTTCGCCCACCACACTTGAATTGCGACAGGGTGTGGTAGGTTTTACAGGAGAAACTGCGGCTTTACCAAGAATTTCACAATTTACCATAACCATGGCTTCTGAAACAGAGGTAGCTCAAGCTCTGGATGAGATTACTAAAGATTTCCTGACCTGCTGTATTTGTTTAGAACATTATCAACAACCAAAAGCTCTTCCATGTTTGCATACATTCTGCGAACACTGTTTGATTAGTTTGGCCGATAATACTGACCTGGATTTTAAATGTCCAACATGTTCTACCCCTTGCGATTTGGGGGAAAAAGGAATAGCTGGACTCAAAGGTAACTTTTTTATTTCAAGTCTTCTTCATGAGATGCAACGAAGGGCAAAGAGGCTATCCAAAACTGCATCGGTGAAATGTGAGGGATGTGAGTCTAATCCAGCATCTGGAATATGCATTATATGTGAACAATACCTGTGTGATAACTGTGTCAAAGTGCACAAAAACGTCACATCAACACGTTCTCACAAAGTTTTATCTCTCGCTGAACTGAGCATACAGTATACTTACATTCCACATCCATTTTCACCAAAAACGGCGAGGCTCTGTGACATTCACCAAGGCAGTGAATTAAAGTTTTTCTGCACTACTTGTCAAGTGCTAACCTGTAGAGACTGCACAATTGTAACACACCGTGTACCAGAGCATGTCCACAAACCCATTAAAGATGCTGCTGATGAGTATCAAAGTTTCTTGGTAAAGATGTTAAAGATGCTGGACAAGAAGACATCTGAGGTGTCAAAGAGAATAGCCATAGCAACTGAAAAACGCGATAAGCTGGATGAGAATTTCACAAAAGAGAAGGCAGCAGTGCAGACTGCATCAGATGAGGTGAGGTCAGAAATAAGTAAGACTGAACAAGACGTGCTTGATGAATTAGAAACAGAAAGTGTGGAAAGAATGTCACGATTAAATACACAGACAAATGATCTTGAATGTAAACATAGCGCTTTCATGCAGACATGCAATGACATTCGAAAGTCCTTAGAGTTAGAGAGTGGTGCACAACTGTTAACTTCCAAAAATACATACACAAAACAAATTGAAAAGCTGCTTGCTGAAGATATTGATATAAAAGTTGTAGAGAATGATCTTCATGTCTTGCCTCGTGTAGACAAAATAACATCTATGTTTAAACCCAGACGGACAGTATGTTTATCACAGTGTACAATTGGTGGTAGTGTAGAATACCTGCTACACAAAGGCCAATCAGTTGACTTACCCATTTCCACCAAAGACTGTACGGGCAGACATATAGTGAGTGAACACGAGGTGAAGGCAATTCACATTAAGCCAGGTGGCTCACAAAAGCAGATGGAAGTGACTGATAACGATGATGGCACCTACTCTGTTACATTGCATGGTGACATAGAAGGAAATCATGAAATTAGAATAATGGTTGGAGATACACCTATCCCAGGACCACCATTCACAGTTAAGGTCGTCAAAGGCTTAGTCAAAACCATAGGTCAGAAAGGAGATGGCGAATTGCAGTTCAACAACATTCGTGGCATTGCAATAAATAAAAATGGCGACATTGTAGCTGCTGACAAAGATAACAACAGACTGCAGATCATAGACACGGGTGGGAAGTGTAAAAACACAATACCAATGGGCAGAAAGTTTAAGCCAGTAGATGTGGCTGTTTTAAATGACAACACATATCTAGTTATCGGTGATGCAATGAATTCAGGAGTTGCTGTGATTAGTCCCTTTGACCAAACTATTTCGTACTTTGGTGCTAATGAAATAGATCGTGCAAGAGGCATTGCTATATGTCCAGCTACAGGTTTAGTGTATATTATAAGTGAAATGTGGAATGTATTTGCAAAAGTGTTTACACAAAAAGGTGAATTTGTGAAATCAATGAAATTGAAATGGTCCACTCCTACCTGTATTAAGATCGACAATGAAGGCAGATTGTTCGTATGTGTTAACCTTGATCATAATGCGGCAGTGTATGATAATAGTGGGGAGCTTCTATACAGAATTTCAGAAGCTGGAAAGTCAGATGGAAAGTTGACAAACCCAATATATTTAGCTTTTGATAAGCATGGGTATCTGTATATTAGTAGTGATCATAAAGTACAAAAGTTTGACTGGCTAGGAAATTTTATCTGTCGAATTGACACAAATGAAGATGGATTGAAACATCCAACGGGAATTGCATTGATGGATGATTTATCAGTTATTGTTGCTGATAACCATAATAGTTGTATTAAAGTATTTGTACAGTAAATAATCTCATGACTAAGCACGGTCATCGCATATAATGTAAATATATGATAATGCTTGATTTTAAATGACAGGTCAAATTTCAATTAAATATTTCTAGTGTAGTAGAAGTTTGTCAGGTGGTCTTACATTATTTATAATAACAAAACATTGAACATTTTTCATATTTTGAATTGTTATATAGAACATTAAACTCGTTTTAATACATTTCAAAACCACAATGTGATTAAAATTATTATTATGTTACAATGAATGCATCTGGTGTTGAAAAATATAAATCACATTGAACACAAGTTATGAAATCGTTTTTCTCTTAAATATGAATAACAAAACAGAAATCATTGATTCTTTTTTAAATTGTTCGGATTTTAGATATCATATAATATAAAATTACAACTGGGGTTATTATATAAATTATTAAGTTATTTAATTATCTTAAAACATTGTCAAGGTCAGCACTAATGTTAACCATTTGTATACAATTGGTCAGGTGTCGTATTAAATATGCTCATTCAAAATATAACATAACAAATAAAACTGAAAACAAGTTTTGGATTTACAGTAATGTATGTTTGATGACAGATATACGAGACATAAACTCTTGTGATACACTTGTTTTAACAACTGTGCAATAAATAAAATCCCAGCTTGGCACACTTGAATGTATCAGTCAATAAATAGTCGTAAAAGGTCAACAGTTTCAGCCTTCGAATGACTCTGGCATACTTGTCACGTGGTGTAACGTCTACAACAGTCAATAGGTTATATGGGTTAATTGCTGCTATATAAATTTAACAATAAAGTATTGTTGTATAAGTTTTTCCTATGGTCATATGAATTAATGTGAACTGTCTGCGATTATTTTTCTACTTTTATTTATTTATTTATTTATTTATTTATTCGAATATCTTTTTTTTCTGTTCACGCTATACTATAATACGGGCATATATTAAAGTTAATCCTATATTGTTGCGTATCGGCTAAATATCGTCCACGTATTAGAGGAAACTAATTTTAATACGAACAACGGGGCGGCAAACTTACGAGGAATATGCACATTGCCAGTGATTGTATCTTTACAGTACAGCGACCCGGGATGTATACATTTTAGCTCTATGATTATAAAACATACGTCAGTCTATTTGTTGTAATGTGAAAACATATCTCTGGATTCAGTGATGTTGCTTGTCGTGTCGTTATAAAAAAAAATATATTTTGAATATATTTTGTTTCATCCTTAGTGGGTGTTTAGCCCGAGCTGACCGTGATATGGGTCTAGACAGTATCTAAACGGATTATAAAAATATAGATTCGTGTAATTTCATTGACTCTTAGAAATATAAATTACATGCACGTCACGAACTGATAAACATGCAACACAAGATTCGAACTCATAATTACAGCGAATGGAATCACCATAAGTATTCAAACATAACACGCACCACGCTGCGCCCCAATATTACATGGGATGTAGAAAAGAGAAGGGAAGTTGAGAAAATACACTTTTCGATCTTTCTATTTACAGAAAAAGTTTTCTTCTGATCATAATGATTGTTTTATTCCTTTATTTACACGTTATTCATTTTTGGTTACGATTCTATCGTACTTTCTAAAGTGCAGATTCCCCTGCTTGTCTGTGCATTTTTGGCACGTTAGAATATTTTTGCTTGCACGTCCCTGTTCAGAAGTGATTTTCGACACGCTACGCGCTAATAACATAAGCACCATACTGTCCCAAGTTGTAATATGCAGCAATGTTGGGAGTTGTATCAGTTCGTCGAACACGAAAAAGAGCGACAGCCGGAATTCTTTATTTTTTTTTATAACCATTAGAAGTTGTAATAAATGCATTATTTATCTGCAACATCACTATCGCGTGAATAATCATCCTGAAACAATCAAATCGTGAATACTAAACATATTTTATTGAAAAATAAGACCAATTACTTCAAATGATTGATAGGTGTCGCTGTTCATCTCCTAAAGTCCCTCCTGCAGTAGTGCGCCACCAAGCGACAATGTATATGGGACTCAATCATTGCGGAAGTAGTCAGAGTTCAACAACGATTTGAAGTCAGTGGAATAAACGACTTTTCCAGGTGAGTATTTTAAAAACAATGTAAAGAAGCCTTGGTAGATACATTGATATATTAATTTGTGTAATAGAGAAACTGGGGGATATCGAATGTGTTATGGATCAGTGATTGTACATTGCACTCATAGATGTAGCTCTTGCGTGGTCTGCTAACGTCCGGGTGTTCGTTTTCATTGCAACAATGTACGCAGGGCTATCACAGGCGTATTAGAGTGCCGGTATCATGTCTGTAGTTTGTCGTGGCCAGATAACAAAAGCAGATAAAAAGAAACTTCGACGCGATCGTTTGGCCTATAAAATTTCAAATACTTTTGAAAGATGACATATGGACAGGGATGAAGGAATTATACGTTACAGGCGACTTTTACTGCATTGCATTTTGGGTAATGCATGTAGGGCTCATACCACTAATTGAAACTCCATAGACGACAATGTTAACATATGATGAGATTGCTATATGAAAATAATAAACAAAGTTGAAAACATAGCTCTGTAGTTTGTCGTGGCCAGATAACAAAAGCAGATAAAAAGAAACTTCGACGCGATCGTTTGGCCTATAAAATTTCAAATACTTTTGAAAGATGACATATGGACAGGGATGAAGGAATTATACGTTACAGGCGACATTTACTGCATTGCATTTTGGGTAATGCATGTAGGGCTCATACCACTAATTGAAACTCCATAGACGACAATGTTAACATATGATGAGATTGCTATATGAAAATAATAAACAAAGTTGAAAACATAGCTCTGTAGTTTGTCGTGGCCAGA